GGCGACGACCGTCTTATGCAGTACGATCGGCCCCTCAGCGCCATCGTACCCGGCTCACGTTCAGCTCGTCCATCCCTTCCAGGGTAGCGACGAACGTCTTATGCATCACGATCGGCCCCTCAGCGCCATCGTGCCCAGATTCACGGTTCGGCTCGCCCATTCCCTCCAGGATGGCGACGACCGTCTTATGCAGTACGATCGGCCCCTCAGCGCCATCGTACCCAGCTCACGTTCAGCTCGTCCATCCCTTCCAGGGTGGCGACGAACGTCTTATGCATCACGATCGGCCCCTCAGCGCCATCGTGCCCAGATTCACGGTTCGGCTCGCCCATTCCCTCCAGGATGGCGACGACCGTCTTATGCAGTACGATCGGCCCCTCAGCGCCATCGTACCCAGCTCACGTTCGGCTCGTCCATCCCTTCCAGGGTGGCGACAAACGTCTTATGCATCACGATCGGCCCCTCAGCGCCATCGTGTCCAGATTCGCGGTTCGGCTCGCCCATTCCCTCCAGGATGGCGACGACCGTCTTATGCATCACGATCGGCCCCTCAGCGCCATCGTGTCCAGATTCGCGGTTCGGCTCGTCCATCCCTTCCAGGGTGGCGACGAACGTCTTATGCATCACGATCGGCCCCTCAGCGCCATCGTGTCCAGATTCACGGTCGGCTCGCCCATCCCTTCCAGGGTGGCGACGAACGTCTTATGCATCACGATCGGCCCCTCAGCGCCATCGTGTCCAGATTCGCGGTTCGGCTCGCCCATTCCCTCCAGGATGGCGACGACCGTCTTATACATCACGATCGACCCCTCAGCGCCATCGTGTCCAGATTCGCGGTTCGGTTCGCCCATTCCCTCCAGGATGGCGACGACCGTCTTATGCATCACGATCGGCCCCCTCAGCGCCATCGTGTCCAGATTCGCGGTTCGGCTCGCCCATTCCCTCCAGGATGGCGACGACCGTCTTATGCATCACGATCGGCCCCTCAGCGCCATCGTGTCCAGATTCGCGGTTCGGCTCGCCCATTCCCTCCAGGATGGCGACGACCGTCTTATGCATCACGATCGGCCCCTCAGCGCCATCGTGTCCAGATTCGCGGTTCGGCTCGCCCATTCCTTCCAGGATGGCGACGACCGTCTTATGCAGTACGATCGGCCCCTCAGCGCCATCGTGCCCAGCTCACGTTCAGCTCGTCCATTCCCTCCAGGATGGCGACGAACGTCTTATGCATCACGATCGGCCCCTCAGCGCCATCGTGTCCAGATTCACGGTTCGGCTCGCCCATTCCCTCCAGGATGGCGACGACCGTCTTATGCAGTACGATCGGCCCCTCAGCGCCATCGTACCCAGCTCACGTTCAGCTCGTCCATCCCTTCCAGGGTGGCGACGAACGTCTTATGCAGCACGATCAGCGCCTCTGTGCCATCGTGTCTGGCTCATGTTCGGCTCGCCCATCCCTTCCAGGATGGCGACGAACATCTCTTATGCAGCACGTCTGCCTCTCGGCGCTGACATGTCCGGGTTATCGATGAGAGCCACCGCTTTCTATCACATCTCACATTCCTTCTCTCATACATTGCACTCATACATTACATGCATTCATGCATTCATGCATCATACCTCATACATTCATACATACACGCGTGCATCATGTTTTGACAGTACCGCGACGTCGGTTTATAGATGCATGGACCTCTAAGCTTCTCCGATTGGAAAGCTCGAGTCAGAGTCCTTTACTCTCGCCTGATGCATTCAGGGGGAGCGTGCCCGTGGAGGAGCACCCTTCGCCCGACCCCGTCGGGAAGGGGGGTGCCTCACCGGCAGATTACGTTCAGGAGTGTGGACATCCACTCATGTATTATGATTATTCGAAGACACAGGTTCCAGCTAGACAGAGGCAGAGCGCAGGCAAGAATATACTTTCTCGAGCAGATTCGCGCACTCACTACTCAAGAAACTGGGGGACTTGTGTTGAGATATATTATCCCGGCCTATTACTGTTCAGGAGCCCAAGACATTATCCAGTACGGAGCCCGAGCAGCTACGTCCATTTCGGCCCATTCCGACCCACTTTAGCCATTTGGGCCCACTCCGGCCCATGCGGCCCATTAGGGTGGAGAGCATCCCCTTCCCCTATTCTCTATAAATATGGGAGTTTCCCTCCATATTATGGATCCTTTTTTAGCTTCATCTTCTTCCTTTCTTTTAGACTTAGCTCAATACTCCATTAATGGGAGCTTGTACAATGTAATCGTGAGGAGAGTTCTAATGAGAAAGAGAGGGCTTGGACATTAGCCTAAAAAGTCCCGTGGTTTTCTCCCTTTCGGGTTTCCACGTAAAAACTGAGTGTTCATACATATATTTACTATATCGTGTTGGATTAAACTCAACATACACACACACACACACACACACACACACACACACACACAAAGTCCTCTTAATTTACAAAGTGCAAACTAATCAGGGTCATCCATTTCCTTTGATCTCCTATGCGTTGAATATATGATACATCAATTTAATTTGAGAAGTTGAGGGACTTTAAAGTCTTTTTGGTTTGTGTTAATTTTGGGAAGAAAAAAACTCACGATCTTTCCATATTCTCTCTTCAACATACGTATCTCCTTCCCCTATCTTCTCTTTGCAGCATACACATCTCTTCTTCATCTCAATTTTCATCTCCATCTCTATGCCCAACGCCATCTCCATCTCTATGCCCAGTCCATCTCAAATTTAATAGAATCTGATTGGTTTTCTTCTATTTGAACGTCATGGATTCCGGCATTGCCATAAAATTCCGGCATCGCCATGGAGTTCGTTGTGCATGCTGGATGTCTTTATTTTTTTATGGTATTCGTTTGTATACGAATTCAACAATTTCGTATTTATGTATTGTTCATTTGATTTTAGTATGCAAAATTTTACCTTTTTTTAGTATGCAAAATCTTACCATTTAGAAGATGTTTCTCGTACATTACCCTGAATTTCGTTTGCATGTCGGTTGAGTGCACGATGCAGATTTCATAATGGTAAGATGCAGCAAATTGTCTTCTACAATGCACATCTCAGCTTACTAAAATGCAACATACGATATTCTAAAATGTCACGCCATAATGATAAAAATGCAACATATGAGATACTAAAATGCAGATGCGATAGCGATAAGATGCAATATGAACTTCTAAAGTGCACATATCATCTTACTAAAGTGCAATATATGAACTTCCAAAATGGATATGTCATAATGATAAAATGCAATATATGAATTACTAAAGTGGAATGTCAGCATATTTCATCATTATGTAGCTCTAATATAAGTTATAGAGACATTATAAATATAAAATGCATATCTCGTAACCTTAATATGCACATCCACTAACCTTAATATGCACATCATGTAACCTTAATGTGCACACTTCTACCTGTGTTGACATCTTACAAACTTAACATGTTAGAAGTTCTAAATTATGCACACGTTATTAATATATAATGCACCTTCCATTGCCTTAATATTTTAGGTTTCAAAAATGAAAGATTAATTAGGAAGTGAATAATTCCTAAAGTCAAGTATATAAATGTCCCTTTACTTTTTGTGAAAGTTTGAACAATTCTTGAAAAGTGATAAGTGAATAATTCCCAAAATCAAGAATAATTGGATATGTTATTGCAACCTTAATTCGTGATGGCTAAAAACTCAGATGTTAATCTATGCACTAATGGGTGGTTGAAATTTAGTAGTTGCATACAACTCCGTATGCTTCAGTTTTTAAATTTGCTAAACATAAATGGGTGGTTGAACTTTTAATGGTGGGTTACCTGATTTTTGGGATTTCTTTCCATAAGAGACTATGCGGCTCATTTTTTTAAAAATGTTAATTTACTTTGTTGTCCTTGCTTACTAATCGTGCATCTCAATTATCGAACCGTTTTTAGTTCCCTGCATTTCACCTCATTGAATGCTATGGTGGTTAATAGAGGGATAGCCATTGATTTACCCAATTTGAACGTACAAAATGAGTTTGCATTTTGTACGGGAAACATGATTTGTATGTGATCCCTTCCCATATATATATATATATATATATATATATATATATATATATATATATATATATATATATATATAGTGCGGTTCCTGTGAGAACACCTTCTTAGGAGAGTAAAAAAGAACAAAATCTAACCATCAATTAATTCAATCAGATGGCCTAGGATTTTCCGCAATAGAGAATTATGTGCAAGACATTCGGATAATTAATGTAGTAAATAAGGTAACGTGCAACTCTTTATTTATCAAGGGGCACAATGGTAAAAAGAATCCAAATAGATGTCATGAACGAGCCACCATAATAGGAAAACATCCTATAAATTGGGAAACTAATTAATGCATGAACTCCATCATAATTAAGATCTAATAAATACTTCTTTTATTTAATTTTATTTCCGAATTTAAATACTCTTACATTTAAATACTCTTACATTTAATTTAGATAACCAATTGGGAAACTATGTTTTTATATCTAATCTTTTTTGCCGATGGTAACATTTCATTAGTGGAATCAAATTAGGATTGTATATTTGCACACCTACGTTGAGTAGATGCACTTTAATCGAAATATTAGGCAACATCAATTTAATTAAATATTTGAGTATTTTTGCACTATCAATAGTTTAGATAACTGAATCTATTCTTCGAAGTAAAAACTCTTGGAGACAAATAACATTTTAATTAAGTTAATTTTACCTGGGGGTAAGCTTCACTTTTATATCGTTTCATTGCACTAAATGTAACATTAACCTACACTTTACACATGTACTCGTGCACTTTCATACTTAGCTTGTTCTAAAAAAAATGATTTTAAATAAGAATGAAGAATTATACAATAGTGTAAGTAGCAATTATCATAAAGTGCACTATTATATCATACTTTCTAATGACTTACACACGCTCTTTTTACAAAACAAAATGCACTTTTTGAATGTGCATTTGAATACATACAAAAGTGCTCTTTTTTTTTTATCCCGGTAGGCAGAAGGGATCCCTTTAATATCTAAATCAATAAGGGTGCAAATATTATTGGGTAAAAAAGCTGAAGAGGTAAAGCAAATAAAATTGTCAGAATTAAGACCAAGCTGAGCAAGAGCATGTGCAAGTAAATTCATTTCCCTATAGATATGTTGAATGCGAACCTGAAGAGACTGACAAAGCCTTTGAGCTTCCTCAACCGTACTCTGAAGATAAGTCGGAGGACTTGATTTCTTCAGCAAGATCTTCGTTGTCATCTCAGAATCAGTTTCCAGTTGAAAGTCGAAGAACCCAGATCTAGCACACCATTCTAGCGCCCGACAAGCTACCTGAACTTCCGCTTGGGGTACTGTCTTCACGCGAAGAGACATGAAGAAGCCTGAATATGCTTCCACCCTCATCTCTAAGAACCGCACCGCCAGCTCCTCGCCCCTCTCTGAAGGCCGCATACAAAAGTGCTCTATTATATCACACTTTATACAACTTTACATAGACATTTTTTTACAAAATCCAATGCACTTTTTCTCCCAAATGGATCACAATTGTTCCACCAACGCTGCATCTTACCTGCAAAAAAATAAAAAAATTCAAAACTACTAAAAGTGCATGGTCAAAGAATGATAAGTGCAAGAATAATTAATTAGAACTAACTATTAGAATACCTAAAAGATGAATTCAGTGTAGGATGAATTCATCAACGTATCCATTGTAAAAATAAATATAAGGTGAACTCAAATTATCTACGTATAACGTATGTAAATATATATATAATGGATTCAAAGTATCTATGTACTACCTCCGTCCCATTTTATGTGTCTTAGTTTGACTTGGCACGGTTATTAATGAAGTGGTTGAAAAAGTAAAAGTTGTGGTTGAAGTTTGAATATAATAAAGTGAAATGGTTTAGACCACATATTTCTTTCCAAAAGAGGAAAGTAGACACTTATTTTGGGACAGCCCAAAAAGGAAAGTAGGACAGGTAAAATGGGACGGATGGAGTATAAGAAAGTGATTAAACATGCATGACACAAATGATGAAACACGCATGACGCAAAGTTATCTAGATCGTATCTATGTAAATATATATAATGGATTCAAAGTATCATGAAGCAAAACGCATGACCATCGTGAAGGAGAGAAGCAATGCGCATGAGAAACATGCTAGGAAAGAAACACGTTTGGAAAGAATAATGGCGGAAAACATTTATGGAAGGAATAATGATGCGCACGAAATTGTAGGAATCGGTAGAATTGGAAGTGACGTGAATAACCTTAATGATAGTTAATCACACGTTCAAATTAGAACTTGATCCAATGGCTCACATCTATTCTTTTTTCCTCTCATAAGATTAAGTTCTCACATGAACCTAAATATATATATATATATATATATATATATATATATAGATATAGATATATATATTGCTAAGACTCGGGGTTCCATCATAAAAGGTCAACCTGTTAGGAGGAGTAGCCCGAAGCTTAATATAGCACTCTAGTGCTTCTCAATTTTCCGGTGTGGGACATTATATTTAACACCCCTCCTCACGATCAGACACTTCGTCTGGATCGTGTCGTCATTCATTTTTTCATCGGTTCATCAATGTTTTTTTATCGTGTCGTCATTTTTCATAAGGGGCCCCACACCATGGATCGATTTGACTCTGATACCATGTTAAGACTCGGGGTTCCATGCTAAAAGGTCAACCTGTTAGGAGGAGTAGCCTGAAGCTTAATATAGCACTCTAGTGCTTCTCAATTTTCCGGTGTGGGACATTTAACACACACACATATATAATTACTATACCAATCCCTAGCATCAATGTTGGTGTGGTATAATGGTAATGACCTTCATCATTTTTTAACTTGTCAATATTAATATAAGTTAATCAAACAACATATTTTTATAAAAGCATTTCGATGCTAATCTTTTGTTGCTTAATAAGAGATTTTCATTAAGAAATGCCATCTCATTAATAAAGTCTTCAGAAAAGGTAAATTGAATTTTCTAATTAAAGAATGGTAAATTACGAAATGCTAATTTGTTTAATGTTTTCACTTTTCAAACTCAAAGTGGTAGATAAAAAGGAGCACCAAAATGTGATCACTTACACAGTTACACACAAGTAGAAATAAGACTAGCTTATGTGCCTTTGAGCTATTAAAATATTATAATTGACCAATTAAAATGTGAAATATAATAGAATAATGATTTAAATCAATTAAATGGATCAAAATTACCCCCATTTTTATAGGCATCACTAAACATTCACTAACAAAATTCTACTCCATATATAAATAAAATAATGAGGAAGAATGTCGACTATACAAGTAGATGGACAAAACAACGTGGCCCAGAATTTTATGGACGATTTGATTAGAGCATCCTCAATGCTCCGTAGTCTAGTCTAAATATAGTGCGACACATCATCGTTTTAGACACCGGTTATTTTTTCCTCCTTCCAACGCTTCTAGTCTAGCAACATATTTTGCTGATTTGGCAAAAAGAAATTGCACGCCGTGAAGAAGGATTTCCAATCTTAAACATTCTCCTAAACTTGATGACTCAGCAAAAAAGGAACCGCTCTTCGATTTTCTAACTGTACTCTATCACGATTCATGTATCATATCTTTGGTTGCTGAATTTCATAATTTTGTTTAATTTAAAACTCCCAAAACTTCTTTCACAATATTAAAAATTTTAATGCTTCTATATTCGTAAGTATTTGTCAGAGAATCTCATTAACCCACTTCAGAGTGCTGATTATCATTCTCAGAGCATAAAGACGTCAACGGTTTTTAAAAAAAATCAGACGTCAATGGATTATAGGAATTGTCCATGTAGTGAAATGAAAATTAAATAGAAAAAGATTATTATGTTGCACCAATGCTATTAAGTGAAAACTATCGGATGGTTTGTGTATAAACAAAATTCCGTATAGGGAAGTCGTTAGTAGAATAATAAGGAAATCCACATCTACACTTCGAGACTTTATGCATTGGAAACGTTTTTCAAATTTCAATGTACCGTCGATTCACTTTGGCTTACGTAGATTAGAAAGTTATTTAAATTTTTGACATGTGGCTTATTTTATTTAGACTAGAGACTATTGCATTGTGGATGCTCTTAGTCTTATTTGTCTTCGGTTTTCTTTCAAACCTTCATTCTTATCTCAAACACCCTATTAGTAGGTCAGTCCGTCGGTAGGTGTACACAAAATAGTGTACACCAAGCATGACCATAGTATTTACTCCGTATATAAAAAATGATTAGTGTACACCTTTCATACATTCGTCTGTCTACGCATACTGGATTATCTGTCCACAGACAACTCTGTAGAGTTATGTGTGGACAACTCTGTAGAATTATGTAGAGACAGACGAATGTACAAAAAAATGTACACAAAAAAATGTACACCTAAACAACCTTACTTATATTACTTGCACGCGTAACGGACCCAACAAACAGCACAATAATCACACAGCCAAAGTTTTCCAAATAATTCAAAATGGGGCGCACTTGTTGACTTGTTGGTCACTTTGTCGCATGTCATTAGTTCAAATGTTCAATACAACTGTGCTGGCCTATGTTTATTTATGTCTTAATATTAATTACTAATTAAAGTTCTTATCACCAACAATTTTAAATAATATAATATACTACTTTTCTTTTTTTAATATAAAATGTTGTCACGTGAAAAGTATTAATAAATTTAAGGAAAAATTGAAATAATAATCTCAAATATTGTCGGTCCGCATATAATAATCTCAACTATTGTTTGTTTTTGTATAATGCCAATTATATGGACAGTCCGCCAATAATGGTCCATCACCAAATATTACATGTTATAACAGGTGAATTTTAAATAGACATTAAGCTAAAAATTAAAAGTTGAGATTATTTATAGGGCTTACCTGCTATATCTCTTTTCATCCACTTTAGAAAATATAGGAATTTATTTATAGCCGGTCACTTCGGACCATTATTGGCGGATAGTCCATAAAGTTGGATTATTCTGAAATAATAGATAGTTGGGATTATTATGAGCGTTCCGCCAATAGTTGGGAGTATTACTATCAATTTTTCCTAAATCTATTGCATCAAATTTGATGATCTAATAATTCTAAAATGCTAATATTGCGTTAAATTTAATAAAAATGTATTGACATTTTTGTAATTCAACAAAATTATGAGAGTGTAATTAAATATGCCACAATATATATAATACATATAAAGATATAGCTTATATAGCTAAAAATTATGTAGCTAATTTTTTGGGGGGAAGATATAGCTTATATTAGTATCAACCCTAAATCATAGCGACAACCATACCCCAAACTCTACACCTCCCTCTATCCAACCAATTCCCAAAGTCCGTTGGCCCCATTGCATCACGTCATGATCAGATCAGACATAGAATATTTCACCCGAAAAGTATGAGACTTATTGCTGAAACAGTAAGAGCATAGTGGAGATTAGTGGTTGAATCAGCCTGATTGCCTCCAAACACAAATCTATCAACTAAAACAATCCAAAGCCCCCACCTACCCCTTATTGTTTGTCACACTGTATTAGTGTGCATACTGTGGTGCCTATGAGGTTTGGAAGTTTGTACAACCATACCATATCCGTGAAGTTTTACAATAATACTCTTTACATACCCATGCTAAATGCCAATTTAGATTATTTATGATTGTAGCAATCTAATGCACATTTTGTACTAATTTCAAAGTTGCCCCTTCCTGGAGGTTTGATATCTTGTTTATATTATAAGCGCCAAGCCGCCAACTACTGTTAGTAGATCCTTTTTCTGTCAAATTCCGTCAACTATTTCCCCCACATATACCTTCTCTACAATTCCTTCTCTCACGACGTCTTCATCCCATTTATGGTTATTAAGCACGCCGATTCTGTGCAGTTGCTTAACCACAAAACACTTCCACGAAAAGTTCAAAGATATATAGGCAGGGGTGGATCTATAGTATTCTGACCTGCACAGGCTACACGGCTACATTATTGTAGGTCCAGTTAAACTAAAATACTACGTATTTGAATTTGACTTTGAATTCCTCTGAGCACAGGCGCAGAGCATTGAACATTTGAGCCTCCCACCCGTCTCTTGCTTTGTCCTCCACCCAATTTCAACCTATTCGTGACCTCTTGAGCTATTTTTTGTCTACATCATTATTTTTTATAGCAATTTTGCAAGTGTTTTTCTCCATATTATTTTTCTCTATTGAATCACGAAGTGAATATGAATCAGTTAGGATTCTTTAAATTTCATTTTTTACTATTATTAATCCGATATCTTTTGTATTGTTTATACATATTGATGTATAATGTTTTTGTACATATACTTTTATGATAACATTTTTAACAGCGAACACTCATATTATTTGTATATTATAAATAATTTCTAATAAATATGTATAGAAATTCAAAGTTCAATTTCATAAATCAAAAGATTCAAATATGGTAAAATTTTAAGAGACGGAGGAGGGAAAACGTGTTGTAAAAATTATGAAGGTGGGTCGTCTTGTCGGTGTAGTGTAATGTCGTAATTTTTTTATACTGCTACCTACTACGGAGTATATATGTGCATACCCTGAGCTCCGATGTCTGGATCCGCCACGATATATAGGGTGAAGACATGGCCGGGTATCTCTTCCGCTTTCTCTCTGCCAACTTCACGATCTCCCTAGGTACACATGTCAAAACTATTGAATTCTCCATCTTCTAAGGAAACGATTTCTGGAATTTTTTGGGTCGTGCGGTAGTTTTGCAAAAATCTATCTGCCCGTTCTTACTAAATCTACACACATTTAGTTTTCCATGATGTATTGAATCATACTATTTCATTTTTTTAGGGATTACTTCATCTCTAATCAATTACTCCGTATCTAAAAAATGTGTAATTGATTGGGGTATCTATACACATAAGACGTACTTATTTACTATGGGTAATTCTATTCACAGCCCCCTGATTACTATTCACAGCCCTTAAATTAAATAATAATTAATAAAAATATTCTAAATACCTAAGTTACCCCTAAGGCTAATAACCGTCCTTGAAATAGACCACAAACTGAAGAGGGATGAAGTCCAACCGGCGACGGCACTATTGATGGTGTTGTGTTGTGCGAATACAAGTTTCTTGGACATAGAAGCAGTGAAGTGAAGGATCTCTCTGTATGTTTTAGATTAATTGGATTGTTGGACAATTAATTTTACATTTAATTGATCAATCAATAACAAGCTCTCATGTGGCTATGAGGCTATCCATTCCTTTGTTTGAATCATCGATCATCGAATACATTGGCTAGACAAATGAAAAAGTATTTATTCGGTGTACTATTTCAGCATCTAATGAAAACATTTTAGTCCAAAAAATTTTGATTTGATAATGTTAGAGTAATTTCCAAACTCCAGAACCACAAGTAGATGTTAAAGAACCCTGACATATACTCTTAATCTCAATGTAAGCATTGATGTAAAACCGTTGCAACTTGAAAAATAGAGAAAGTGATGAAAGTGGTGGACTAACGAGATTTCTATATGGAGAGAGATTTATGAGCAAGATTGGATTCATTGGCTAGGATTATGCGCCGCTAAGTTCATTGGATCCGCCGATTCATCGGCTTTCAAGATCGTGAATAGAGGAAGCCACTCAACAGGCATGACGAATCAAAACCTGGAGATTAACAGACAACTCTCTGTGGCCTCTCCCTCCGCAAATTATATGGTACACCCAGGTGTACGCGTACACCCGGTTATTTTGTAATTCCACGCAACTTTAAGGCTTCTTCTCTTGCTCCATACATATGTTGCACCAACCTTATCCGTTGACATCAGCCGACAAATAGAGTTTTCCATTGAAGGTCCGGTGAAGCTCATATTTGTGTCTCCGGATGCAGGGCAGTAGAGGGGGAGCAGGACGCCGCCGGAGAAGAAGTGATCTGCTGAGGAAAGATTGGTTGCCGACAAACAGAATTTTCCATTGAAGGTCTGATGAAGCTCGTATTTGTGTCTCCAGAAGCAGGGCAGTAGAGGGGGAGCAGGATACCGCGCGGAGAAGAACTTATCTGCTGACGAAAGATTGGTTTTTTGAAGCATACAAAACTGGAAAGAGATAGAATCGTTGCTGCTTCAATCCTTGTTTTCCCATCTTGATTTCACAGAGCAATAATGATCGTTTTCTACTTTTCTTTATTCAACACTTTTCCTTTTTCATTCCTTTCACAATAGATTGAAATACTTCGTTCGAGTTTAGCCTGGATTGCCCAAAAGCCCGTGCCCCGGTCCGTCAGAATTTAGGCGTCTCTGATTCGTTACTGTTCCTCCATCTTTGTGCTGTAGAGATTCTATATGACAACGTTAATGCTCTGTATAGACTAGATTCCACTGAGATTGACTTGACAAATCAATCCAATAACCCTTGTCGCGTGCTCTCACATACCAAATGAGCATAAGTTTAAACGAAATGAGCATAGACAAATGAGGATTTGAGCACATTAGCGATTTAAAATACTTTCTTTCGATACTCATTTTGTAAGTGATGTATGCTCATTTGGTACTGACATTATGTTCATTTTAAAATCTCATATAATTTCATATTTCAAAGGTATCATATTAATTAAATCAGATTCATGCAGGAGTTCATTATAGATATAGAAGCACATAACATGATACCCAATTGCATGTTTTCAATACTCAATACAGGAGGTTTGATGTTCAATAAAAATGTCTTGAAGTTCAATAAAAAAACTTATGAGTTTCATATCAATACTCATTTTGTAAATTATGTATGCTCAATTTATACTCATATTATGCTCATTTTTAAAATTGTCATATCCATGCAAATTTTAAAGTTGCATATGACATTAGATTCACGTATTGATCGAAGTTCATAGAACTTGATCATCATAGATATTATTTAATAAGTTTTTGTAAAAAAAAAAAAGTGAATTAAAAGATATGAAGCAGATATTACAATGCTCATTGTAAGGTTCCTGAGACCCAACATAATAAGTTAGATGCTCAACAAAATTATTTTAATGCTCATAATAGGTTTGATGCACCTTAAAAGTTCCTTAATGCTCATTTTACAGAAATCATGATTTCCTTCTCAATAGAGGAGATTTGATGTTCAATGAAAATGTCTTTATATCAAACTAACAAACCCTACGATTTTCATATCAATGAACATTTTGTGAGTTACGTATGCTCATTTGGTAATGATATTGTGCTCATTTTAAAATGTCATTTCAATACATATTTAAAAAGTATCATATTAAATTAAATTCCCATATTGAAGTTCATAGGAGTGTATTATAGATATAATTTAAAAAAAAATTATACAAGAAAAAATAAGAAAAAGAAAAGAATTAGAAGATATGAAGTAGAGATCGTGATACTCATTGTTAGCCTCCTAATACTCAATAAAATATGGCAGATGCTCACTAAAAGTACATTAATGCTTATTTTTAGACCAATATCAAATGAGTATAGATAACTTAAGAAATGAGCATCGAAAAATTTAAAAACTAACTTAAAATCTCTAGTATGCTCATATATCAATTTGGGTATACTCATCTAATATTATAATCAAGTGAAACAAACAATGAGATACTAGTATTTCATTGAAAGAGAAATGAACCTTCACACTGTAATTTTTTCAAACTCTTAGTAGACATTCAACATTTGTAAGCTAATTAAAATAAACTACAATATTATTAATGAAAGAGAGAAAATTATATTTAACCAAATTTTCATCTCAAAAATTAAATTTTATTTAAATTAAAGTTGTTAATATAATTAAGAGGAACTTTAAAAAACACAATTAAGAGGAAAGAAAACGAAAAGAAGAAGTGGAAGTCCCGAAAAAAAAGTGGAAGTTGGACAATCCACTTCCGCAACTACCTACGCCTCTCAAAGCCAATCGTAGCAGATAAAACTTCAGAGCTCAAACGGGGCTGGATCAAGAGTAGCGAGGAGAACAAATAAAGCTGAAATTTAAACAAAATCACAAAAATACCTGGATGTACGGTTCTCACCCGTACATCCGGGTGTATAATATATGAACCCACCCTCTCCCTCCCCATGTATATACGCATATGTTAATCGGCCAAGGACCGTACGACTGCACTAGGAGGATATAATAGGAATGACGAAAAGATGGGGCTGTGTTTAGTAAATATGGGGCTGCAAATAGAATTGCCCATTTACTATTTGTCCTTCATAGAGCTGTCAAACGGGCCAACCCGGCCCAACCCGACCCGTAACGGGTTATGCTTTATGTGGGTTGGGTCGGGCCAACCCGTTTAATAACGGGCCAGGATTTCTACAACCCTAACACAACCCACCTAACCCGTGGGTTAAACGGGTTGGCCCGCGGGCCAATGTAAAAAAAAATATAAAACGAATTTTTTAAAAAAAATAATTACCCAGAAGTATATATTTATATTAGCAAGTAGTAACAGAGGAAATATAAGAAATCAAAATACTAAAAATTCAATACTGGTTAAGTTTAATTAAAAATATTAAATACTAGTTATATGAGAATTTGAAAACTATAAGAGGCTATGCGACAAAAATATTCATTGTATACAAATTAAGATTTACTTAAAACTTTTATTTAATCATTTGCAAATAATGACTACTAATTGTTAAATATTGTATCGAACTTCACAAAAAATATATGTTTCAACATTTTACTTGAATTTTTATTATAAAAATAAAAGAAAAATACTTTTTTTAATTGTAATTATAATAATATTGGTAGTAAAAGAACAATATTTTAGATAATAAATTCAAAACTATATTTTGTATTTTGGCCCGCGGGCCAACCCGTAACCCGGTGGGCCAACCCACTTAAACCCGCAACCCGCGTGGGTTGACCCGCGAACCCCGCGAACTAAATGGGTCAGGAATTCTCAACCCTAACCCACCAATAAATGGGTTTAAACGGGTCAGCCCGCGGGTTTCGGCCCATTTTGACGGCTCTAAGTCCTTCATATCCCACCTTCAATTATACATATTTTTCAAATAACCAGTTATTTACTTAGTTACACATTTTGTATATGTTTATGAACTGTTCGAATAAAATGCCTTCGTCAATGATTTCTCATAAATGTCTCTATTATCAAATACAATATTTCCCTTATATATTTCCTACCCTTTAGTTGCTAAAGACTACTTATATTCTTCACCGAATAAAAAAGATAGCACAGGTTTACTTGACTATTGCATTAGGAATGAAATATATTTGATAAATTGCATGACTTGACTTTCAGTATCTAACGAATGCAGCCAAATGGGCTTGGGCACTCTATACCTTTTCAATTTATGAAATACACTCTACACTAAGTTCTGGAAAAGAAACCTCTTTCTTAATTTGGATATAGTATCCTGGCATTCTTTAAGAATGAAAATGTTTTTACCAATAAGCTACAAGGGAGAGATAAACGTGATCAAAAGATTGCAATGCTTTTAGTTAATCAAATTTCATATTGGAGAAGATTACAATTGGAAAAGAGCATGTTGATAAGGAAAAAAGTGAAAAATCTGGAATAAAATAGTCACAATAAAATTACTTGGAACTAAAATCAGATGAATGACTAAAACACCTGCAATCTCGCATGGCCTATTGCCAATTGCTTTACATTTTGCAAACAAAAAAACTTCACAATTTTTTGAAATTAGTTATTGACAACACTTTTTATATGCTTGTATTATGGTTATAGACTTTTATCTTTACATCTAAAACACGATCGTCTAACTTAAGGAAATGTGACTATGTATTAGTCTTGTAAATTTGCAAATTTCTTCTTGTGCATAAAATGAACTAAAATCAAGGACTACCGAACTGTACATTACTAAAATGCATTGACATTAAGCCCACGTGTTTAGTGAGAAAAACACATAACATTAAAGGCCTAGGAGTTATTTAGTAAAGAAGCTTCAAGGGAAACGATGCCTGGGAAATATTTAGTCATTGATAAATGTGAACTTTAAAGAAGTAGAATACAATATGTTTATTGTGGACAAATAGAAATAACTTTGCAAGAGTATTTGGTAAGATTCTTTCTCATAGGAGTGGATCTGCTTGATTAAATGCATTCAAATTTCTAGAATTTGTAAGAGTACTATAAATAGATGGACTTTTAAATCCATATGAGGAGTAACAATTGAATTTGATATGAATGAGTTCAAGTTCAACAAAAAAAAATACAGGACTGCTCTGTTTAACAACAGAGCATATTAAATACTTGAGAAAATCATATGCTAAATAAAAAATGTTTAAATATTCACCCTTAACATGTTTGGAGACAGGGTCAGTCATTCTGCTTTGGTTCTGCTGTAAACCACAACTAACATGACTTCACCAATATGGCCCCTGTCGTTTTCTTTTTTTCACTCATGAAGTCATCTAACTGGGACAGATGTCCTTTTCAAACACTCTCTAACGACAACCACAAATCTAGCTACAGGCTACTCCAAAATCATAAGCTAATCCCAGGTATGCAAATCGTTTCTCCTTGCTTTATTAGTTACTTAACTAAAGGAGCTTTCTCATATATCAATTTACTTACACTCATTATTATTATAAAATGCAGGACATGAACTTTTTCTAAAGCAAATAACAACTATAGAATGGGTATTCAAACTCAAGATAACTCTAAAACCATTTTACAAAAGCACATAAATAACCTAGACCTAGCTGGTCCACAAACTGATTTTAACATCTACATCGCTGGAAAAACATTATATATTTTTACAAATAACATGATATTCCTAATTGCAGAATGTCGTTATTGAGGTACATAACAATGACTTGTTTTCAATTGTTCACACACTAGATTAAAGAAGTGCTAAGAGTAGTAACATGATAGAATGTGAGGTGGAACAATATTAAGTGTAATGCTAATATCACTATCATTTAAATATAGATGCATCAGTGTTTAAGTGTCTTATTCGTCATATTGTATCTCATTCTAAATCTAATTTTTCTTTACAAAAAAGAGTGATCTGCTAAGTTTTTAACAGAAGAATGTTTTTGCTAAGCTATTAATAACAGTTTAGTTGAGGTACAAATTTGGAATACTTTTCTTTGTATTAGCAAACTCTTTTTAAACATTGGGGAATCACACCATGCTCCTGAAAAATGTAAACCGATCACCGTATTAAATTACTTTTTTTAAAATGGATTTTCTGTTCTAGCGAACACATTTTGCATACTCATTTTTTAACTTTACTCCCCAAGAGGGCCAAGTTTGATTCTCTTACCACCTTTTGAAGTCAAAGTTAATGGAAGGGGTAACAAACATTTAAATAAAGCTAATGATAATCTTAATCTTATAGAAGTCAGTTTATAATAAGATGAACCATAAAATGTACTCACTTTTATATATGGAGGTTTTTTCCTGAGTAATACTTTTTTTTTACTTTATAACTTAGATATATTGGTTAACGTAACGTTGCTCATCTGAAAGACTGGTAAACACACTCCATAATATGGAGTCCATACACTATCAGTAATTTTATGAAGGCATGTTTAAGACTAAGTATGGAATACCAGAGACGTATTGTTTAGAAAATGAACAATGAACAACTCTACATGGGCTCACTTGTTAGTTTTTGAGAACCTCGTATGCAGACCAAGTTGTGTGTTTGTGATGTGAAACACTATGGATGAGGTAATCAAAACTCCTGAAAGAGCAACGTAACTGCTCTAAGTTCATTTGTTAAAAAAAATCAAAGAAATAACGTTGTTTTACTTTGAATCACAGGCAAGAATTCATTTGAATCAAGGGCAGCTTCAATTTTCTGGAAATGGATTCAATCATTTTCTATTGCAACTCCACCAAACATTTAATATTATACCATAACAAATTTCGATTGGGTGTTGAAATTTCTGATGCAACGCGGGTGCTAGATGCTAGGAATTAATATGGCTCCTGATTGCCCTCAATTTCACATTTGCACTCAAATTTGTGCGTCCAAATTCACATACAAGGCGAAAAAGAGGTTCTTTGTGCCCTGTCTTTCTTTGCCCACACATATTCCGTCAACTAGTGATGCAATTAACAATGTTGGTCATGATAATATACTCGCACATTCCCAAGAAGCTAAGAGGAAGCTCATTCTGGAGGAAAACAATGAAACACAATGCCAAAGGCACCGCTCTTTGATTTCCTAGCAAATTCAACGACCTCTACAAAAACAAGGGAAAGAAACACCAGATCTGTCAAGTTCTTGCTAAGAAATCTCTGAGTTATTAATGAATAATCATTTTTTTATTGTAAAACTTAAGTCTGACACACATTTACTAACAATACTATTTTCTACACTATGGTCTAAGTAACTAGTGCTCTTGTAAACAGATATGACAGTATTGGAAATTAAATATCCTCCAAAACACAATTTCTTGGGTCTTATGCTTTTGTTTTATTTCTTCTGACTTAAAGATAGTAGTGTTGGATAATTGATACCCATATTGTATAAACAGGAGAGATTGAACAAGAATAGAGAAGAAATGATGAAGAAGAAGGAATGTGTATAGAATGAATATTTGTTATATGAGTTACAAGCCTCCTATAAGGAGTATACATAGGGAAAATCCGGGTCTGGGCCTCTAATATGGGCCTGACAGACCCGGTTACATAAATGGACTGATAGTATAAAAAGCTAATCTAGAACATCTGAATAATAATAATAATGTACAATAATATTAATGATATCCGCTAAACGTGTGTGGGCCGCTGTCCAGGCCTAGTCGGCATACCGGGGGGTTGGAGTTCATATAATCCATCAGGAGTCCCCCACTCCCTGAGTCGAGAGTACTCGAGGTGAAAGGGAGTAGTCCAAACTGTATCTGCAACGTTCTTCCTCTTCGCCCGGGGGACCACCACCCTTGTCCATTATGGGGAGGTGCCTCGTTAAAAACCTTTACTAGGAAAAACCCAGTGGGAAAAAATCCTAATAAAGGAAAAAAGAGTACACCTAGCGCCACCAACATGAAACAAGGAAGGTAAATCCCCTCCGGCATAATCAATCTAGCTCAGCTCCTCTTCAACTGACTCAGCTCTCGTTCCTGCTCTTGCGTGATATTTTCTGCTCATTTAGAAACTCTGACCCCTCAGTCCCCCAGTCCCCACTCTTTGAGGCGAGTGGAGACGAGGTGAAAATGAGTAAAGTCATCTTCGTACCTACACATTTATCATACATATAAAAAAAAATTCTTGGGATTTATGTTCCCGATCGGGAGTTCGTCACTTGAAACAAGTGGAGATGTGAATTGTTAATGTAATGATAAAATACTTAGTAGAATGGATGTGTGAGCCATTCGTAAGCAACGGTCGCCAATTGAGGAATGACTAAGACCGGTCTTCGTACCCGACTTGGTCGGGGTTTTGTCTTCATGCCCGACTTGGTCGGGGCTTTGTGCCTGAGGAGACAGGGCTTTGTGCCTGAGGAGTCAGGGCTTTAAATCCCAGTGATGGGTCTCAAGCCACACTCTACTAGGTATTTGATCATAAGTGCGTGATAGTGTGCCATTTATCGACAAAAAATGATTTAAATAAATATAAATAATATAAAATTAAGGAGTACTCATCTTTTGATGGGCTGAAATATTGGGCTGACTGGAACGAATAGCATCCAGTAGAACTCCTTGGGCCCATTTTCATTCGTGAACCGACACCATATTAGTGGTAATTTAGTGCTGCCTGGCCCATAATAATTTGCAACAGTTGACTTCCCAAATAATGTTAGGTGCTCCACTCATCTGTACTCTCATTTAATTTGGATCCTTGGTATGTGGTTGGCTCTCAACCAAACAAAGAGCATCTTTTGAAGAGGCGGATGAAACAATCCCTCCCCAAAAAAAAGTACGTTTACGGAAGGTAGCTGCAGCGGGACAAGGGAGGATGGCGGTGCGGATAGCCGTAGCATAGCCACAGGTGGTGACTCACCAGCTAGCCCTAGCGTCCACCGACAGGAGGCTATCCCAGATTAACGAGTCGGGCAGTCGCATTCCCAGCTTCGAAAGTGAGCATAAAGGAATTGCCGCCGGAGTCGGCGAGGCGGCGGCCGTTGGTAAGGCGGTGTTTATCTCGCGACACCCACGAGGAGTAGTACTCGACGATGCCCTTTTCCGGCAAGCCTTGGAGGTCCAAGATAGTGCTGACCGGATCAGAGTCTGTGGTCGAAACTGAACCCGAATGTCCCAAAGGCTTCACCGTGGTGGGACTGAAGAATAACCCAAAACATCGCCAACAAGGAAAGGGTGAGGAAGAAAGTAGAAGAAGAAGCCATGGGTAAGGGGTAAGAATCCAAGAGAGAAATGTGCTCAGTTCCGGGTGAAGCTCGTCTTGGGCGTCTTTGACCTGCGGGTTCTTGAGTCGCGTCCATCGCGTCAGTTCCAGTCCTCAGCAGCAACGGGCCACTCTCTCTTCACGTTGGCCTCTAGCTCAAAAACGGAGCTTCCCAGCGTCCATCAATGGCGGATTTCCGAAGGTCAAGCTCCAGAGGCTGAGTCGAACGACCATGAAGATGATAGTCGTGGACCTGGCTCCGATTTTTGAGCTGCGGTGGCGACCGGAGCCGTGGCGGAGTGGACATGATTCTTCCATCTTTTCACATCACGAATTCCAGATCTGATTTTGTTTTTTGAGAATAGTCTCTTTGTTGAATTCTTGTGATTGGGAAGAATTTTTGGTTGAATGGGAGGTTTTCTCACTTGATTGTGTTCAACCTCTCAACGAGAGCACCATTGTTGGATAATTGATACTCATATTGTATAAACAGGAGAGATTGAACAAGAATAGAGAAGAAATGATGAAGAAGAAGGAAATGTGTATAGAATGAACATTTGTTATATGAGTTACAAGCCTCCTATAAGGAGTATATATAGGGAAAATCCGGGTCTGGGCCTCTAATATGGGCCTGACAGACCCGGTTACATAAATTGACTGATAGTATAAAAAGCTAATCTAGAACATCTGAATAATAATAATAATGTACAATAATATTAATGATATCCGCTAAACGTGTGTGGGCCGCTGTCCAGGCCTGGTAGTCGGCATACCGGGGGGTTGGAGTCCATATAATCCATCAAGTAGCATAAGGGTTGTGCCACTTCCCTACTCTCAAATTAATTCTCTATATGCTCCTTAATTAAAAATATTAGTGACAAGCAACTGGTTTTCTCTTATTCTTTTAAGAGCTATTAATTGATGTGAACCATATCAATCAATATTTGTATGGTGTTTAGTGTTACTATGAAAATAAATCTAACCCACTTGTTTTCTTTGAATTCTTCACATCGACGTACGACAGGTCCTTCACTTTGTTCTTGCTGCCTTTGTGAGGAATACTCATCATATTTTTAATGAACCAAGAACATTAACCCATGAATTTGGGATCTAAAGTTGATGTTTTCCGTGGTAAGTGTCGGGAATGAATTGAAATGAAAGAACAATAGTTATTACATAATCAAAGGGATCTCTATTTAACAACGGTATCTATCATAGGATAGAGGAAGGGAAAACCCATGTTTTGCTAAGGTTATACTACACTTTTATCATAACCCATGTTAAAGCAATTTAAATCATTAAAAATTAAGTAGGTACTACAAAGTAATTAAACACGTTTTATATTAAACCACCCTTTTATATTGACCCAATTGATTAATATTTCGATGAAGATTAACGCACAACAATTTGGTTAAGAAATGCATACGTTGGACATCATTCGCACGTAGTGCGTACTCCGCTAGTACTACGTATATGTTTTGTCATTTAAAAGAATAATCTAATGTACTGTGCAACTTTTTATAGACCATTATCTAACGTTTCTTAATATGATTAACATTTCTCGCAATATCAATTTAAGTAATTAGGACGGTACGTGCTGAAATGCATGAATGGACAACAATAAATAAAGATATATGAAACAATGTTTCGAAATCTGGTAGATATTTAGGTTAGATATGAGTCATTAAGTCAGATAACAAACATTGAAAATGACTTGGAGGTCTATCACATAGGGATAATTGTTAGAGGATGTGTGATTATTGGTAATCTTCTCTTTAATTATCGTATATAAAAAATGGAAAAACATGGAAGTGCTATAAATGTTGCAATCCATAGATTCATATTCTGCTAGAATCTCTGCCAAAAATGAAACGATGGATCCAATCTCCAATTACTGAAGCTCGTGTGCGCCAGCTAACCAATTTGCTGAAAATGAATCAATTGAAATCTTAGCTTAAAGCTCACAAACTACTTGAATAATCATTGTGTAAATAATCATTAAATGGGATAAGAGAGAACAGAATATGATGTACCTTGCATAAACCGAATACCAAAGCCATTGGGTGCTATGACCTATGGAGACCCAATCTCCTGGTAGTTGAGCCGCAGTCTGTTCTCCTCCCAGTGGTGCAAATTGTCCAAGATGCTTATACCTTATAAATATACAAAACATAGTTAATTTAACTCAATAGTAATGGATTGGACCTACCTAGGTCAACTTCATTGATACTAGTTAACAAACTTACATCTTAGTGTTATAAAGTATGCAAAACAAACCAAGAGAATACGAATGCAACGTAAGAGTGACAAACAATATATTGTGTATGTGTCATGTTGAGGTATTTGTGTCACGCCGTATTGATGTAACTGTATAAGTAATATATAAACTATTTTAATATCTTACGATATTACTCATATCAGGTTGACCTTTTAAGATGTAACCATATATCTTAACACGGTGTGATTGACAAACCGAATAATGGGTCCATAGTTATGGTGTGAGCACCTATGAAAAATGACTGCAAATATAAAGATGACAATGACGAACAGATGAATAATGACACGATTCAGACGAAGTGTGTCGTGATATAACACTGCACTTCCGCAAGGGGGCGAGTTTCAAAATATATTACCACTTATATTAGTTTGAGTTATTATACCTGAAAGGACGGAATCTATGTTGTCCCGTCCCTCGGATCCTCAATGGACCTTCGGGACTCCTTTCGCAAGCTCGCATACGATTGAAACAATCAGCAAGGTAAGCTCCTTGTTGAGCAGCAACCTGAATAGTCCAGACATTATAAACATAAATACAACATGCACGCAAATACAGTTAAACACGTGTAGTACTAAGGACGTACCTGTGCGGTTGCAGGAAGAGTTTTCATTTGGGAGTCAACCTCAGACAAAAGCTCCTTAAACTTGTCAATGTTAATCTCAGTACCATCTTTGGCACTCTTTAGTTGATCAGTGAAACATTTCATCTTATTCTTCTTCAGATAAATGTCTATTTGTGGATACCTTTCCCTTATGCTATTGATCACTTCTTTGAAATCTTCCACTTTTAGGTTGCCTGAATTTTTCTTGTCAGCCTTGCTAAATATTGCTGCTATGTCTTCCTGTCACCAATCTTCCACTTGTCAGTAAAAAAAACTCAGACTTCAACATCTACTACAATTAATTAATTTCTTTTTTAAATTTTAAAATTCATGTAGAATTCTTAGGTAACAATATGACTATATGATTACTATGGCTAAAAGACAAATAATTTTATGGTAACTCTAATGTAAATTTGAATAGCATGAAAAACACTACTACACTAGACTCAATTTCATGGTCACTACACTATAATCACGTTGAAAACATCAATATAATCAGTACATAATAAAAGTCATGTTTTTGCATGGTGTATTACATACGAAGTCTGTATTTTATTAAGTGGAATTTACGTACCATGACTTTACGTTGGTTTATAGAGGCACAATCGCCTAAAGCATATATGTTTGTGCACCCTTCCACCCGAAGCCATTCGTCTGTTGCCAACACTCGTCTATTTGTCTGCAATCCAAAGAAAACAATTTCAATGATTAACTGATAAAAAGTTTAAAACAAACATTTATTGTATATAGAGTACAGTTTGGAATTAAACCTGCCCAATTTGCTTCATAAAATCCATAACAACGGGGCGAGTTCCAATGCCTGTGGACCAGACAACCATCCCATATGGAATCAAAACAGTACGGGTTGAGCTTCGCTCCTTGGTTGTGATCTCGCGATCTGAAACCTTAACCACCATCGACCCAGTTTTGACATCAATCCCATCTCTCTGGAACTTCTCCTCCGCGAAGTCAGTAATTCTTTTGTCAAACCTAATAGATCGAGTAAAAGTACGAGACAAAAGTGCATTGTGTTGTTAAAGTCTCACACCGGATATCCCTAAGGAATTAAACACTATATTAAGATCTGAGTTACTCCTCCTCCTATCATGATGAACTTCGGGTCTTAACATGTGTCAAATGGTAAAACGAGCCTAATGTTAATAGAACTTTGATGTACAACTTATTAGGCAATCTATTCGTCAATTATAATGTAATACGGAGTATAATTTCGTAATCTTGTACTTTATGTGTCTCTTAAAACTTTATCAATCGTTTCTATTGAGGATGTCCCAACAACTTTTTCTCTTTCTCTTTTCAACAATTGATTTGTTTTTCCTGTTATTTCTATCTCATTTGTACAAATCTCAACCATATAGGTTTTACTTTATTATTCTCTGTGTCGGTTAAAAATAGCAAAGTTTTAAGGGACGGAAGAAGTATTTAGTAGCTTCTTACATGTTGAGGATGTGGTCACCAGCCTCAAGGAGGGTGATCTTGACATGGTGTTTAAGATGTGGGTAGAGTTTGGACAAGTCCTCCATCACTAAGTCATGAAGCTCTGCTGCATATTCAACTCCAGTGGGACCACCTCCCACCACTACAAAGTTCAGAAGCCTTTTCTTCTCCTCCTCGCTCACAGTAGGAAGGTTTGCCCTTTCGAAGCAATCTATCACGTTCCGCCTGATTTTACTCGCGTCTTCCACTTCCTGAACTCCCATTTATACTATCATCACTAACCGGTAGAGATTTTCATAACAAATATGGAGTATTACGTATTATAGATATCTTAACATAGTACCAGTTCAACAAAAGCTAGTTAGTGCATGTTGTTAAAGCTTTATTCCTTTTCGGTTTGATTCATCACACGTATGATTGAGACTTCAGACTAACTCGTTTGGATTGATATATTTGTCTCACTAGGAATATAAACTTAAAGTGACGCATAAAAGGACATTAGTATCATTGCATTTTGGTACTTTACTTCTAAATGAAAAGAAATAGTATTTTATAACTATACGTTCAAGTATTCAACCGACAATAGGTTTGCCCGGTAAAAAAACCTACATGATTGCCGGAATTCTATGCGTAAAGTTTGTATTATAGTATCGTTATCAATGTCATCACTCTACTGTGGGCGCTACTAAGCATTGAATTCCAACCTTCATGTAGTTTTTTTACCGAAAATTTGAAAATTATTACCGGTAAAAAAATTACATACGTATAACTATGGTGCTAATTTGTTTCATTTAAGAGTTGATACTAAAATTCAACAATATCAATAGTTAAGTTATTGTCTACACTTTACCCCATATAAAATCTTCAAACATATCAGAATTAACCTTCTAAAATAGAACTTTAAATTTGAATACGATGAACCATCTATAATTACAAGTATCTACCTTCAAGAAGTGAGCATGTTCTACAACACCGGGGGTGTTGAAGGTATTAGAACGAGCGCCCATAGCTATAACCAAATAGTCGTAATCCACTGCAAATTCTTCCACAGATCGACCCAAACTTGATTCTTGGGTTGATCGACAATACACTTTCTTGTCTTCTGTATCAATTTTATAACACTCTCCTTCTTTGAATTGAACATCATACCCTTTCTGCTCATATGTTCAAACACATAATAGTTACTTATCTAGCTGTGATAATTAACAATACCAACACATGCTTTTGATCACTAGAGAATTGAAGTATTAAATAACAATCCTAACTTATTCATGCATTCACATGCATTTCATACTTTTCGGCATGTTTGCACTTCCCGAGAAGCCAAACACAAAGTCATAACATTATTAGCTTCCTATATTTACTTTAAGTATTAACTCGATTTTAAAATGCGTAAAAGTAAGGACCATTTTATGAGTTTGAAATGAAAGAACATGCATTTATTCAACTTACCCCCCTCACAATTTTGCGGATGGGCTCCACAATGCTGCGGGCCTCAACCGTGCCGACCGTGACACTAGGCAACAGGGGAGTGAAAACGAAGTAATTACGAGGTGACACGATATGAACATCGTAAGACGAATCCTTCAACGTTTTCAAAAAACTCATGCTTGCCCATCCTGTCCCCAGCACTACCACTTTCTTCCGCTTAACCTCACCGGCATCCGCATACGCAATGCCATAGAGATCTCTTTGTGTGTATGCCACTAGACCTCCACCACTGCATGATTTACACAAAAGCGCTTAATTAGCGAATCTACGTGTTGAAAAGGTTGTCCAATGAATGATAAAAAGTAAAAATGCAAAAATAAAAATAACTTTTAGCATGGAAACTTAAGTCTCGATAATAATAGCGCAATTAAGACTGTTGATTAAACATGGAGCAAAAAACCTGATGGTAACAACAATGACTGCTTTGGGGAGAAAAGGGTGACCACGGAAACCCGCGGCGGCTCTCTGGACAAAAGTACGGCCGACATTCATGGTGACTTGTTAATCCTCCGTCTCTGCAAATTATTGTTTCGAAGAAGAAATGGTGTAGGAAGCAGTTATTGGAGGTGGAGAATTTTATTTGTCATGCATGTTTTTTAGCTTTGATTTATTGTTGAGGAGGTAACTGACGAGTAAAGAGTGATTTACGCATACTTGACTTGTCAAACTTAAAGGAACATGACAAATGTCGTCAGGGGTGAGTTCAATTTGTGTGGTGGATTCAATTTGTGTTAGTTAATGTGTTCTAAGGACAACATGCTCTATTTGCTCGCTAACAAATAGAATCAGGGAGATTCGGAGTTTAATTCAAGTTATATTGTGGGGTTGTGCCCATTTCACGTCTACGTCATGGCGGAAGAAGGGAGGAACTATTGTGAGTAATAAAAATATGGCAAATTGTATGGTATTTTGTCTCCATGGATCAATTGAAATATTGTTATTTAGTATTTTAAATACAAATAAATGATGAAATAATGACTTGAACCAATTATATTGTAGCCTTATAGGCACAACGCCCTTAGTTATTTGTGTGGTACCATAACACTCACTCAAAAATACAAAGACTCGCAAATATACTTTGTATATACAATCACCACTATGTAAAATCAATCATGAGTCAATTGTAGGGTGTGAGATTGTGAATCATCGAGGAGAATAATTACTTTTTGTAAAGCCATGTTGAGTTGGGGATGAGAAAATCCTCTTACTCACAAGAAAAAATTTTGCTTAAAAATTTATGTTTTGACTCACCTAATTTCGTCCCATAAGGATTACCTATATTGGGTTGTCTTAAGAAAATAGGTTATTCTAATAATTTTTCCATTTTTCATTTAAACAAACTAACTTATACAATAGTTTTTATCATTTTTTTCTTCTTTATACAAACATATTAGTTTTAATTATTTTTTAACATTTTATTTTATAGGCATGTCAAAATGAAAAACTCCAATGTGACGCATGGGAGTAACATACAGAGTAATTTTTATTAAAATTTTTTGCAAATTTCTATACATTTAAAATTAGTTAATGGTAAACATAATGGTTGTTATAGAATTGGTAACCAAAAAAGTGGTATACTTTCATGTAAAATGTGGTTTCACTTTAATTTGGCACCTCTATTAAAAATTATTAAGACATACTCCCTCTGTCCCAAAATGATGGTCTCATATTTTCTTTTTGGGATGTCCCAAAATGATGGTTCTGTTTTCCTTTTTGGAAAGAAAGATGTGGTCCATATCATTTCACCTTTTTCTACTCAAATCTCAACCACAACTTTTACATTTTCAATCACTTTATTAAAATTTGTGCCCAAAAGAAATGAGACCATAAATTTGGGACGGAGGGAATATATAACATTTAAATTGAAAAGAAATCAATAATATAAGGTGTATCATCATTATTAGAAACAATGACGGAGAGTTGATATCATTAAAAGAAACGTAGCGAGAAAAATGACTTTATATAGTTTAGTAACTATATTTGTAACTTCAATGATCAGTATTATATCCAATTTTACATTGTAGTCACCATGATGATATGTTCACAATAATTTTAGTCATATTTTTGGCAATAAATTTCATCTGAGTAACTTTAAAGAAAAAATCTATTTCTAGAGCATTTCTATGCATTCATCCCACATAATAAGACTTTTATGATTCTTACCTTTAAACTATTGCCACGTAATTTTTTTTAGAAATAATCCTACACCCTTTAAATTACCCTTAACCATCATCTCAGAATAATTAGAATAAGATTATATATTTGCGGGTCTGCATTAACTAATTAACACTTTCTAGTTTCACAAATAACATCAAAATAATCTGAATTCATATTTAGATATCAAATAATCCTATCAAATAATCTTGCCAAATATTCAATCTCTTTCGCTCAATTATGCTCCCAGAAATAATTGGTTATATCACTAGAATTATTCCTCTATAATCTCATGGATGAGGATGCCCTTCTTATAACTGAGATCAATAAATGTGATTAATTTTAAAATGAAGACAAAAGAAACTGCAGTAAGAGTATCCATATTGATATTGTTGTAATTTCCACTTGCATGTTTGCACTTTTAATTAGTTTTTGTTGTTTGTTGTTATGGAAATTACACACTTTTGGTCTAATAATTTTGTTTATTAAATATTTGTAATTTGATCCTTTATGATCAAGAGGATGAGCTTCAAGAGAATGATTCGGAGTTCTTACAAAGTGGAACCATGCAGTACAAGACACGAGATAAATCTTCCAAAGACAAAGGCTTTTTTCAAATAAGCCAATTTATTTGGGACCCTGCAGATCCACTCTTTTCCTATTCAAAGACTAGTCCAAGGGCTCTTTGTTTTCACGTAGAGAATTTTTTGCAGATGAAGAAATGACAAAGGCACAAGGCACTTCTTACTTCCCACACTTCTCAATGGAAGCATCTAATTCGATATATAAAACAAATGATTTTACTATAAAGAAGAAGGAACAAAAGTACTTCAAATTTATCAGTCATCGTCAGAGATGGCATAGAAATAATGGCTCATTTTATAATGAACCTTTCTGTTCTAGCACTCTATCCGAGAGTTATCACTATTTATCAAATTTGTTCCTGTTTAATGGAACACTATTTGATCAAATGACAAAGACTTTGTTGAGAAAAAGATGGCTTTTCTCGGATGAAATGAAAATTGGATTCATGTAACAGGAGTTTAACAGGAGAACGATCGCGCGATCGCGATCCGCTGCCTTATTGCCGAATTGCTTAAAAGAGCTCAGGTCGATCAAATCTATATAGAAATACCGATTTGGTCGATCTGAGCTCTCTTCTTCTTGTTAGCGCGTGTCTACCATTTCACGCGATCTGAGCGATCTGAGCGCGTGTCTACCATTTCACCATCAAGGCATCTTCAAAGTGAATCGTATTGATCTCTATCTAGTGTAATGTATGGAATGGAATAGATGCCAAAGTTTGAAACATGTCAAAGTCATCCAAAGGATCAAAAAATAGATCCCAAATACCAAAGAATGTGAAAAGGAACACAACAATTTGAAGATTTGAAGTTTTGCTCATATACCCGGGTCGGGTATAGGCAATACTCGATCGGATACTTGCTTGAATTGAACATCCAAATCAAGTCCGGAGAAACATATGAACGTGGTTGAATATTTTGAGAAGATTGGCTTATACCCGATCGGGTACACCGCAGGGGCGGGCCGTAGTACAGACCCAGGGGGACCGCCCCCCCCCCCCCCCCAACAAAAAAAATCTAGGGTATATTTATACGAAAAATAATTTTCACCCCCTAAAAAAATAATTTTCGCCCCACAAAAAATATTTTGAACCCCCAAGACGGATTTCCTGGGTCCACCCCTGGTACACCGACACACCCGGTCGAATATGCTTACATTTTACAGCTTCTGGAAAACTGCCTCTGATACCAAATCGGGTACATGACTCTGCCACCTTCAAACACCTATAAATACACTTTTTTCCTTCACATTAAATCCATCAATTCGCATATACTCTTAAGCTTAGTTTAGTTAAGAGCTTTCTTTATATTTTATAGCATGTTTAGTCTCCAAATGAGGAGCTAAACTCTTCTATCTTGGTTTTGCTACATTGAAGCTTATGGTTTGTAATATGTGAGTTATTTTCTTTAATCATCTTACTTGAAAATTAATTACATTCCTATTTTATATCTCATATTAATATTTGAGGAAGACTTAAAGGATCAAAAGTTTCATTTATTAATTATTATTAGAATCGATCGACGAATATGCTTATTATTAGCTCGATCCTTTCAACGGTAGTAAGAAACTTAAATTATTAATGCATGTGTCTCATGGTTTATAATTTAAGGGGGTTAATTTTATTGATTAAATCAATAAATCGCATGTGTTGAGGTTGTCAATCTCAGTCGATTCCATCTTAAGTTTTATTGCTATTATCAGTCACTATACGGCGTATGTTCTATATTGACTTGATAATAAGTTTTATTAATGAACGTGTCTCGTTATTAATAACTATCCTCGATGAATTAGAAATACCACATGATTGAATTTTCGATAGGAAGATAATTAGAGCTATAATTGGGATCAACGAACATTACACTAAGTGAATATAAGCAAAATCAAGTCTTCATTTCTATTAAATTAAATCACATAAGTCATTCATCTTAGTGTTGAAATATTCTTTAAGTTCAAACAAACTTAAAACCCCCTAGTTGCAATTTATTAAAAGAAAGATATTTTTTTTCTTATGGATACGATCCTTACTACGCTATACTACGGTAGTAGTGCAATTATTAAATTAATTTTGAGCCACACAATGACTTTAGTGCCATCACATCTAAGATGAAAGAAATTTAAGTGTGACGTGCACCATACTTTTTATGACTTACTTTTACATCATCAATGATCAAATGAAATCGTATCATTTGGCTTTTGACACCTTTGGCCGTTAACAGTGGACCCTTGGTCCATCATGATCCTTCTAAAATCTTTGTGTACTTGTGTATTCATCAAAAAAAGAGTCAACAATAGCGCAAATGGAACTCAACATAAGATCTTCATCTTTTAAAACTACTAAATTCATCCCGAAAAAGTTCACCATATTAACTTTTCTCGGTCAATGATGACAAATTTTAGACATTTTAATAATTATATTTGTATGTGATTTCTAAATTTTATACTTTCATAAAAATATTTTGAATAAGGAACATTCTGATATAATTTTCGTATTCAAAATAATTTTATATTTAAAAATATCATTGGTCAAAGTTGATTATCATTGACTATGAAAAGTCAATTTAGCGATCATTTCTAGACTGGAGGGAGTATATGAGTGACACATGGGTGGCCAGATGTCAATTTTATATTTCATTTTCGTCTTTCTTAACTGAAGTTGTAGGCAAACATCGGTTGAAGCTTCCATTGGTGATTTGGTGGTAAGGCAAGAAGTCGAGATTTGATACTCTTTAACTTATCTACTATTCTACCACCCTTTTCTCATTCTATTTCTTCACACAATCACTATATTCCTTAGCGGTGGGTAAGTGGATTGTGATTATAGTCCAATTTACATCCTCCCATCGTGCCGTCCGGTCGGTGTTGGGGGGCCCTCAGGGATGGGGTGT